CCCGCTCCCCCGCCGCCGCAACCGAAGCCGCAGGGCGCCGTGTTGGGCAACCTCGGCTATGGGCAGGCGGCGGCGCGCGCGAGCATCAACGAGCCGCCGTCCCTTCGGGGCCCTGCGAGGGAGACGCGAGCAGGAGAGCGGCGGCGAGCGAGAGGAGGAGGAGGGGGAGAGGAGGCGGGGGTTTGGGGGCGGGGGGATAGGGGGGAGGGGAAGGGAGAGGCAGGGTTTACGGCCGCGCGAGGGCGGGGGGAATCCACCCCGTATCTGTGGCGGCTGTGGCTGCGCAGCGGGGACAGCGTCAGCGCTGGCGCGGTGTCCTCGGCCCTCTTTTTTCTTTTCCTTTGCCGCCTCTACGTGCACACGCTCGCCGCACCCAAAGTCCCAAACATGGCTCCCAATCTTTTTCTTTTCCGAGTGCTGTGCTCTCGATCGGGCCTCGAGGCGTTTGTGATGGATGGGCGTTGTGGCTTTTTAGATGGTTTTTAGTGGGTGCGTCGTGGTTTTTTAGGGGGTTTATTTAGTGGGTGCCATTGGATGTTTGGAGCATTAGTTTAGTGGTGGTGGAATGGTGGATGATGGAGGGCGTTGCGGTTGATTGGAAATTTGTCCATTTTGAATTTGTAAAGATGAATGAGACAACGTGACATTTTTTGATGGCTTCATTTCTCAATCCGGACGACACGGGGTTCGCCGACATAATATAGGCAATCTAATAAATTGACGTATTGTGATTTGATCGTGGCCCGGGTGGGTTAAGTTTCTTGCGGCATGGTTGCTCGCCCTCTCCTGAATTTATTTTGGAATTTAATGGAGTTATTACTTTAGTGTCAAGCGATGTGTCTTAAAATCTTTTTGCAAAAAACGGGGAAAAAATATGTGTGCAACTTTTCTTATGTGGTGCCAAGAAATATGGTGGTTGTATTGCATATAATTCAGTAAGATTAGGAATCAACATGTGCAGATGATAGCTAAAGACAACCGTCTATGCATCGCGGATGACTTAAAACGGTGTGCTAGTTGTTGGTAGATACATGAATAGCCCCAAATGGGCACCACTCTTGCTATAAAAACCGCCAACCCTTGTTTTTGATATACGACCATGTACTTTTCATCATTTTTTGGTCCACCGGCTTCAGTATCAGTAAATTGTGGTCCCTCGAGTGCAATATCTAAATTTGGTCCTTTCATCACATTGAGAGTGGTTTTAATGATGATCTGATGTCATTTAGCATAAGTAGTAGTCAAGCCGACAAAATAAGTTAACAGGAAAATAGAAAAACAAGGAGGATAGTTTGATATATTTTTTGGTAACTCAACTGGTTGTAGAAGGAAAAGGGGGGTATCTTAAAACAACCAAAAAAGAAAACAAATAACAAAATGATTTTTACTGGGAAAATGGGACAAATTCTGGAAAATACAAAAGATTACAAGAAAGATATATCCATCTAGGATAATGAATTCTATGAGGTGAAGAAAAATAGAAAGAATATCAAGAATTTTAGAAGAAAATATAGTCACAAAAGAAATAAAATCTCTAGTAATATATGAGATTTCTTGTTAAAACGTGAAGTAACTCTATCGATTTCCATGGTTTTCTAGAATATTTCTGGTTGTTGGGGAAATTTCTGCCTTTTTAGAAGATTTAGTTGGTGCTTTGAGGTTTTTTAGAGGCTTTTGGATGATTTTTGCTTCTTAATCTGGATGGCACGAGGTTCACCGACATAATAGAGGCAGACTAGTAAATAGATCTGCATGGACATTTTTCATGGAGCCAAAAAAAATCTTGATAATGCATTGTCGGCTGGTAAGATTAAGAAGCATAACCATCAAATGATAATTAGGGGAAAATGTATAGGCATCACCAATGACTTGAAATGATATATAAGTAGCACCAAACAATCATCAACTTCTCTACAAAATGTCAATCTTATTTCAATATTGGATCAATATATGTTATGTTATTTTTTTTTGTCTATCAATCATACTTGGTTTGTTGACTTAGTGTCAGAACCATCAAGATCCCATTTGCCAAATTGAAAGTGTCTTCATAGTGACGGTTCAACATAAAAAAACTGATGGGGAAATAGGGAGGGGAGGATAGTTTTTTCTATGTAAGTCTATTTTAGAAGGAAAAAGGATGAAAGTTAATAAAGGAAATGAATACAAAAATGACATTCAGGAAAAAAATATAAAAATGTAAATGAATATTTACAAGGAAAGATATAGTGTAAGGCAAATAATGAGCTTGAAGGGCAATATAAAGAATAACAAGAAAATTATAACGAACCCACAGAAAAACCTAACATATACGAGGATTATTGTAAAAAGAAATACTTAGTAGTTTTATAGAATTGCATCGGTTTTCTAGAATATTCCTGATTGTTGTGAATTTACAAAATTCATAATAGCTTAACTGGAATTTTATATTTTCCCCCAAATTTGGGAGTTTTGTATTTTTTTTATTTTGCTTCATTTTTCTTTATTGCTAGCAAACCATTCGTAAATCGGGAGATTGTCGTCATCAAAACTGGTTTAAGGGGTAAAATCCAAATGGTTTTACACTTGAGGGGCCAGTATTTATAGTGTTGCAGTAGAGCGACCTAAATTAAACTTTGCCAATATTTGAAGGGCCAAATTGTACCTTTTCCTTTCATATATAGAATCAAGCCAGGTTACAAATAGTCATGTGCTTATGTACGATCCACGTCAAAATCCATACATTCTAAGTTTTGAAAGGAAAAAAAATACTTACTTTGTGGGAAGAGTATGGTGTAAGACTTTATGTTAGAAAGGATATCCTCTCTTTTTCCACAACACATGAAACGACAAATATTTTTACCTAAAGTTTGGGGTCCACACCTCAACCCTACAAGGTTTTTTGGAAGAAAAAATAGTCTAAGGTAGTTTATCTTTTGCAATGCTAGGTGCAGGTTTTCGGCTTAGTCCACTACTGACAGTGTTTTTTGGTATTATCCTGCAGTACAGTAAGCAAAAAATAAAAGACTCACGTAAAATCATAAAAGACGACAACTATTTTTAGGGTTCATCTATGTCTAAATCGATTGATATTTTTTCCATATATTTCCAAAAAGTGATACTTAGCGTGTGCCAAAGATTTTGCAGATATTTCAAGAATTCGTCCAATTAACCAGTTAACTTGCCGATTAATCCCTACTCGTAGGATCATCGAGTAGCCGATAAACTGATAAACCGTCTGATTAACTGATTAGCCTATTAATTCCCTACTCGCCAACCAACCGAGCAGCTACATGTTAACGATTTCCTTAACAATAAACCGAGCAGCTATCTTAAACCAACAATCAACAAAAGATTTGGTAGATATAACAAGTGTTTCATGTGCTCCAAAATAGCCAGCTAGCTAGCCACCGAGTCATAATTTGCAAAATGCCGTCATATCATCATGGTGATCGAACACCAGCATAAAAATTCACTATAACTAGATCGGCATATTACTCTGCACCATCTGCATCTGCATCAGCCGTGTGTGCGTGCGCGTGGGAAATCATCTCAGCTGAGCTGAGCTAGCTTGAGGGGACGGGGTAGCACTTGCCCTTGCACATGCAGCGGTAGACCATGGGGCAGGGCTCGGCGATGGAGCACTTGAAGCTGACCATGACGCGGTTGCACGGCTTGCAGGCGCCGCACGCGTGCGTGCAGTCCGGCAGGCTCGACCCCGTCCCGTACACCTCCTCCTGCAGGAACCCCTTCTCCTCCGTCGCCGTCGCCGCACCAGGCGCCTGCCCCGGCCGTGCACGCTGCACTGCCGGTTTCGCATCAGCATCATCTGCCAGAATGTGATTCAAGTTAGATTCATATTCCCATGCGAAGAGGATGGCATTGCACATAGAGATCATTCATGCGGTTGAACTTACCGGGGCCCGGTCTGATGCCATCAGCCGTGGCAGCGAGCAGCAAGACGGCCACGAGGAGGAGAAGAAGGGGGTGAACGCGGTGAACTCGGGCGGCAGGACCGTGCCTCTTCGTCATCTTCCCAAGAATCCCGCGTGCGCGCGTACCAAGAGCTCGCGCCGGTACGGTGCACGGTGACACTCAAGAGCTGCCTGCTTTGGAGGGCACGGTGCAACGCGACGTACTCTAGAGCAGGAGCAGGCTGCGGGGGAGTACACGGAGGACGCGCCCCGCGCACATATATACCCGCGTCGGGCGCGGCCATTGATGCGGGACGCGCGCGCGCATGCACGCAGCGGCAGCCGCGGGGATCTTTGATTGTGCGTCACATGATCCCCGGCACGCCCCCGGCGGCTCGAACTCCATCACACGGATCCAGTGACCCGCTGCCCTGCCTGCCACCGCTGCGCCGGGACAGTTTCGCAGGCGGGCGAGGCAGTCAGAGAGAGAGGGAGAGAGAGACAAGCCATTAAACGGTTCGCCTCCTGGCGCGGATACGCGCAGAGCGCCTTCATTAATGGCGCACGGGCATGGCCACGCCGCCACGGCCTCGGAGCACGGCGGGAAAACCGCCGAGTGCTCGCTCGTTTGAATTTCATTTCACGGCGAGCCCGCCCGCTAGCGCCAGCCAGCGTCGACGGCCGGCCCACCGCGCGCGCGTGAGGCGGCCACCGTCGTCGTGACCGCGCGGGAGCCTTCAATGAAGCCGAGCTCATTTACTCTGCTTTCGCCCGCGCCCCCGTGTCCGTCGACGACCCACCGCGCGCGCGTGACCCTCATGAGCTCTGCCTGCCGTCCTCTGCGCTCTGAGAGATACTGTGCGCGTACGTCTGGGCAGGCTTTGGCTACAACTGGAGTGGAACAGGACCTGCTCATGGATTAGTTAATGGCCATCCATCCGTGAGTAGAGAGAGTGAAGTGCTGGCCGGCGGGCGATGGTCCCGTGGAATCCACAACAGCTAACTGTTATGCTATGAGAAAAGCAGGGAATAATCAGGTCCAGTTCTTGGCATAGACGACGAGAGTGGAAATGGCAGGTTTTCGTGATTTCCCACGCAGAAATCCAACTGACAGCCCCAACTAATCGGCTCGTATACATGGGCATGCCGAAGACCACCGTAGATTATTACTAGTATTCAGTATATATATAGGACTAAAATATACTCCGTATTTTCGTGCAAAGAGTGCCGTCGGCTTGACGTACCTTGTACAACTGAAGAACGTTTTCAACATCGTATAAGTAAGGTATAGTACTCAGTCCTATACCAACCGGATCCTTGGCGCAATGGTAGCGCGTCTGACTCCAGATCAGAAGGTTGCGTGTTCGATTCACGTAGGGTTCAATCCCTGAACGAATCCGGATTCCTTTTTATTTTTTACTACTTCAGCAATCTATTAAATTGTTTTCTTCTTACAAGCCATTTCTTAAAACCTGCAACTGATGCATCCTAGGACGTGAAACGCTAAGGCGGCAGGAGGCGATCGTCTAGGCGACTGCTTCTCTGCGCTAGGGTTAGGGTTTCGACGCTCCAGGGTGGTTGGAATACGGTGAGGAACAGGGCGGCGACGGCGTCCCCCTGGGTTGCGGCTGGTGTGCTTGCGTCCCCGCGCTTTGGAGAGGATCTCATGGCGGGGGAGGCAGGAGGAGGAAAGGATGCGGCTAGGGCAAGTAAGACGACACCGAAACAATCTACAATGGTGGCGGCTACGCCACCGGCGAAGAAACCTGATGGATCTGCTTCGGGGGTGGCCGACAAATCTCCGAAAGAGTGCAGGACACCGGATCCGGCCGCAAGCCTTTCGGCAAGGTTAGGAGGTATGGTTCTCATGGATAAAGAGGAGGAAGGTTTTGTGTTTGAAGATCCAAGTCCACAGATTTGTAAAGATTTTCGTTGGTCAGCTGTGGGCAAGGTTTGCTCTCCCCGTCCAATGAAGATGTCGGTCGTGGAGAAAACCATGCCAAGAGCATGGAGCTTGCATAGGGAAGCAAAATTTGCAGAGATAGGACCCAATATCTTTGAGGTTCACTTTGGATCGGAGGGGGATTACATGCATGTCATACATAACGGCCCATAGCAGTTTGACTTCAGCGTATTGGTGATGAAAAAATATGAGGGCGATAAGAGGCCATCGGAGATGATATTTGATAAAATTGATGTCTGGGGGAGGATTGCTGATTTGCCGCCTGATAAGAGAACAGAAGTTTTTGGTAAAGCCTTGGGTGACTGGCTGGGAGAGACGGTCAAGGTAGATGTGGATAAAGAAGGTATGGCTCGGGGTCAGAACTTCAGAATCAGAACGAGGATCTCTGTTTTTGAGTCGTTGGTCAGAGCATTTTTCTGAAGAAGAACAAGGAGGATAAGGAAAAAACATGGTTTGACTTCTACTATGAGAAGGTCCCGCACTTTTGTTTTGATTGTGGAAGACTGGTCCATGTGGGAGGAGAATGTGAGCCCCGGTGGACTCAACTTCGCAGTGTGGGGGGGGGGGGTTGGTTAAGGGCGTCTCCGGGGAGGAATAATTCTGGCAAAGAAGGGTCGGTGACCGGAGCAACAAGCAGCAACAACAGTTTTGGCGGCTCTCACACTGGTGAGGCTGCAAGGTACAACAATGATCGCCCAAGAGTTAGAGACTTACCCACCAAGAGGAACCTGCAGCTCGATTTTTCCAGGACATCTGACGGGCGCACGGGAGAGCGATCATAGAACAAAGGGACTGAGGTTACTAGTCCCAACAAAACGGGAGATAAGTCTGCTACGCCTCGGGGGCGTGATCTGAGAGAGAGTCTAGAAGCTCGAAGAGAATCTGACCTTAGGAACAAGTTAATGGAGTAGAAAAGTGGCAGCCAACAGGGTACAAGGAGGGAGACGGAGGGAGGAGACAGGTGTCAGGTGAGAATGGGAGGCCAGAGCAGGACGTATGAACAAGGCACGTCTACCGGGTACCATGCAAACCCGGGTCGGGTTGACCCAAGGGGGGGGGATCCGATATGCATGTAAACAGTGCCAGACGCAGGGGCTATTACATACGGAAGGAAAGGAGAGACTTTGGAGAAGGCCACCGCCCGGACTATTTTGCATGGAGAGAAGATGGTAATAGAAAACGGAGGCCAAGGCAGGTATGGAAGGTCAAAGGATTCAGAGAGACTGGATAGCGAGGATGAGTTCATTCGCGAGACGAGGCGGAAAACGGCCTCAGTGTTTGACCGCATCCAAGACAGAGTTGATCAAGCGGCGGACCCTGTGGAACAGGGCCGCCGAACGTCATGAATCTCTTGGCCTGGAACTGTCGAGGACTGGGGTTGGACTCGACAGTGGGCGAACTGAGAGACCTGATACGGTCCTACAACCCAGCGGTGGTTTTTCTTTGTGAAACAAAAAAGAATTCTAGGGCGATGGAGAGATTGAAATGGAGTCTCGGATTTAGATGTGGCATGGCTGTCGATTGTCAAGGAAGAAGTGGAGGGCTTGCATTGTGGTGGAGGGATAATGTGCAGGTCACTTTGAGGCCATGGAGCCAGTATTTTGTTGATGCGGCAATAACTTGCGAGGGTAAATCCTATAGATTCACTGGTTTCTATGGGGAACCAAGGACGGAGCTACGAAAGAAGTCATGGGATGCAATTAGGTACTTGAGGGCGCAAGATAACTTGCCATGGATTTGTGCAGGAGATTTCAACGAGGCCATGTTCCAAACTGATCAACTTGGAGGAAACAACCGGAGTTTTACGCAAATGGAAGACTTTAGAGATTGCTTGGCCGACTGCGGTCTAGTTGATCTTGGTTTCTCGGGTTATCCTTTTACTTGGGATAATAAACGTGATGGAGCTGAAAATGTTCAGGTGAGACTGGATAGAGCAACTTGTAATGAGAGCTTCATCGATCTTTTCCCGGAGACGACGGTGGAACATGTGATGACCGAGGAATCCGACCATCAAGCATTGCTGATACGGGCTATGGAGACGGCTCCATCCCGAAAGCCAGCTGGTGATCGGCCCTTTCGTTTCGAGGAGGCGTGGACCAGGCACTCAAACTATGACGAAATGGCGGCGGACGCTTGGGCATCGCCGGACGTGGGAGAGCGAGGTGTGCATGCATGCATGCAGAGGCTGAGTCGGGTCACGGGATCCATGCAGCGGTGGGCTCGATCAGTTTTTGGTTCGATACGTCGTCAAATAGGGAAGCTCAAGTCCCAGCTAGTTGCGGCCAAATCGAGTGCCGTGGTGACGGGGTGTTCACTGGAAACCCGGTCCATCAAGGAGAAGCTCAGGGAAATATATGTAAGAGAGGAGCTGTTCTATCGTCAGCGGTCGAGGGTTGATTGGCTCAAAGCAGGAGATCAAAACACCAAATACTTTCAAAACCGTGCAACCCAGAGGAAGAGGAAAAACACGGTCAAGGCACTTAGGCGTGAAGATGGATCTAGATGCACGGTGGATGAGGATATGCGAGAGTTGGCAGCATCGTTCTATGAACGACTGTTTACGTCTAATGGGTCGGTTGGTACTCATGCTCTTTTGCAAAACATTGTGCCCTTGGTTACGACGGAGATGAATCAAAGGCTGACAGCAGCCTTTTCAGATGATGAGATCGAGTGTGTCTTATTCCAAATGGGGCCGACGAAAGCACCTGGGCCGGATGGACTTCCCGCTCTGTTCTACCAAAGACACTGGTCATTGGTCAAAGATGATGTATGCAAAGCGGTGAAGGATTTTCTCAACGAAGCGGCCACACCGGAGAGTTTTAATGACACTGTTATTGTTATGATACCGAAAGTTAACTCACTGGAGTTAATGTCCCAATTCAGACCGATCAGTTTATGTAACGTGTTATATAAAATAGCCACAAAGGTGTTGGCAAACAGGCTGAAAGGTTTACTCCCTTTGTTGATTTCAGAAGAACAAAGTGCCTTTGTCCCGGGGAGGTTGATCACGGATAACGTTTTTGTGGCATATGAGTGCGTGCACGCCATTCGCAACAGGAAGAGGAAGAAGCCATTGTGTGCGGTTAAACTTGACATGATGAAGGCATATGATAGGGTCGAATGGATTTTTCTCTAGCAGGTTCTGAACAGAGTGG